TCCTTCTCAAGAAACGAGAGAATGGTAATTGATGTTCACTGTTAGACATGTCAATGTATAAGATTTATATTAGATCTCTTTTATTCAAATTTAAATCTATTAAATTTAGTTAGATTTAGACATAGGTCTAGATCTTTATGGATTTGAAAAGTAAATTCAAATTCAAACCCTCATGGTTCGAATATCCAATGATATTCGTTAGTTTTTTTCTGATCATAAAGTAAAAAACTAAAATAAAAATATTTCCAAAAACAAATTGAGAGATGGTAGGGCAAAAGAAAGTAGATTGTGAGATTTCTAATTAAACTAATTAAAGAGGGAGATGAAAACCATAGTTGTTGAACCCAACGCAATAAAGAATCTGGCAAAGGGACTGGTCACTGGTTCAACAAGTAGGTCACTGGTTGAACCGACGAGTATTAATTTAATATTTATAAATATAAAATAGCAATTTTAATATACATAAAATATATAATAAAGTGCTTTTAGATACTAATTATTATACTTAGAATGATATATAATAAATATATAGATATTAATAGAAGATTTAATTCCATTTTATCGCACTTTTAAATAAATAAATAATATAGTCGAGTATAAAACAAAATTTATATCACTTGTTTTCAAAAATAAAGTGTTATTTTACATTATTTTATTTTTATTTATAAAATAAAATAATTTTCTAATTAATCAAATATTGTCAGTTTAAAAGTTAAAAAGATTAATTATATAATAAAAAAATAAACAAGTTTATTACAAAATGTTTAGTTATAAAATAAAAACTAAGTAAGTGCTAAAGTCTATATATATTTAAATGAAGATCCAATGTACAAATCTTATCAAAAGCATATATATATATATTTTTGTTTCAAAAAAAAAAGACCCACAATTGAAAAAAAGGTAAATCGGATCAATTGAAAAACCAGGTAGGTTCCCAATTAAACCACCGGGTCAATTGAATTTGTCCGAGTTTGACCGGATCAATTGCTTGTCCGGTCAAATTAGAGACCCGACTTAGTTTAATGCCGGAGTTACCGGGTCGACCAGTTCAACCGTCAGACGGGGTCAGGTTTAATAACTATGACGAAAACAATAGAAGCGCGTAATAGATAGGTAGAATTAGATGATATTTTCTTAGGTTAAGAGTGTATTATTTAATCTAACAACCATGAAATCTTATTGTATTCGATCCATGGTCATAAATATATTAAATTATTTTATAAATTTATTGATATATATATATGTGTATATAAATGGATTTGGAAAAGATCTGATTTGGATTTGAATTTGAATATGAATTATAAAAAATCAAACCCTATCCAAACTATGACTCTTTTATAGGGTCTGGGTTTGGATTTCAAAAATTATATCCAAACCCTATCCAAATACATTGGATCGGGGTTGAATTTGAGTAAAACTCGACCCACTTTCACGGCTATTCCCTATGTTTTCAAATAGCTTTATGGGATTTCAATGATGAATGAAAATTTTGTCCGAATAAACAACTAGTAAACATTAATTTTGTTGCTTCACTCTTCTTTAACGAGGGGGCCCTGAATAAAGAAAAAAAAAAGTGGAGCTCCAATTTGATATGAAAAAAGTGCTATTATCCATGGGCATATGCACTTAATCCAAGAAGGAAAGTATAGCACCATCATTGGCTGGACAATTCTCTACGCAAACGCTTTGTATATCTCACCTGCAAAACTTTTTCAAGCGAACAAATCCTATTGAATAATGAAAAATGCGAACACATATGACAAAGTCAAATTAGCTTATTATAATTTCGAACTAAATATTACATGGAATAGATGGTATGGCTCAAAAAAAAAATAAAATTCTTGGCTTCCTTGCGAATAACAATTTTTTGCTTTTCTTTATTCTAAAGAAGATAAAGAAAACAAAAAAAAACAAAAAAATTGGTATAACAATTAACTGTTTGAGTTAATTTTTTATACATTCACAATGTATTTATAATCAGGTATGAATGTATGTCATATATGTAAAATTTAGATTTAAAATGAAATTAAGTTTAGTTATCATGTATATTATTCTAATAATATATGCACTGCTAGTGATAAAAAACTAATTCTTAATTATTTTGATGTAAAATTTTTTTTAAAAAAAGAATAAAGCTACAATAGAGGGTTTCACCGCCACCGCCATAGTGCCTGCGAATACCGTGGGCATTGCAATCACCAAGTTGTATGTTTAATCAGCAGTGTACATGTAGCATATTTTATGGCAATTATAATAATTATAAATTTAGTAAATTATATGGATTGTCTTCCTCCTCATTGCCGCCGCTTGGACAAGACAATACGGAACCAACAAAAAGAAGAAAGCGATGTAGAAGTAGAACTCGAGGGAAGAAAGCAAATTGAATGCCTTCGTTGTGCTGCCATTGAAAATTCTCCAAAAGAATATTTTCCATATTTTACAAGAAGCATTTAGGTTAAATTAGACTGAGAAGATTTTTCTAAACATAAAGATGTTCGAAGACAAAAGTTAATGAAGATTAATCGAAAGCTTCTCTACTATGCAAATCCCCATTTATTTAAACTTATTTTTTTTCAAATAAAATTTATATATACTGATAATATATATACGATATCATCGTTGAATCCATAAATCTTGTACAAATGTTGAATTTCAAATTTGAATACTGTATAATTGTCATTCATTTAAAATTGACAATAATGTATACACTGTCGGTCAGTATACGAAAGATTTTTTTTTTTTTTTTTTTGGATATAACAGCAGTATACAAAATTACAACCTCATGGTATGTATAGCAATTTTGCGTTAGAACAGAAGAATAGACCAAATGGTTGATGTAACCAGACCAATTGCCACGGAATCTTGCATCCCTCCATGTTAGATGGTATCTCTCTGACAAGAAATACACTAATTATTTAGCATTCTTAATTAGTCTGGCCGACTAGGACAGCCACTAGAATAATTCACTTTCGTAGTTTTGTCCGACTGATCTAAATATCTAATCTGTTCCTTTCCCCCTGGGCCAGCAGACAGAATATTGTATGCTATTTAATCTCTACATTCAGGGGTACTGACACTAATTAACACACTTTATAGTACGCTAACCAAGTTGGGCTTAACGTGAGAATTATCATCTAACCTGCCCCGGAATTAGATCAGCACATTGAAAGTTAAACAGGGTCCATCTCCAATTATTCTCCATCCACAGATTTGGAAATTGGAAGTTAGAACCTTGGACTTGCCCTTTATTCCAGATTAAATCCATCAAACTGCAGCACAACTTTTGAGTTGGTTTAGACTGTCTTTTCCACTCAACAGCCTAATTAAAGTTAATTTAGTACCTGCAAATAATAATTTTAGTATCACATTTTAGTATAAAATATATTATAATAATTTGATGTGGGCGAGATAAATAGTTAATTAAAAAATATATATTACGTACAATGTTGTGTTTGGATTGCATTTTTCGTGATTTTTTATGAAAAAATTACTGTAACAATTTGATGTATATGAGAAAAAAAGATAATATGTAAATGTGATCACGAAAAACGATGTAATTTTTTATGAAACCGGCAATCCAAACAAATTCTTTTGAAAAAAAAATTGACATTCCAATTGGTTTCTGCATTAAATGAGATGTCTCTGGCCTTCTGCCAGCTAAAGTGGATAGTTTAGACAGGTGTTATACATTCAATAGAGTGTTAGTACCTCAAAAGATAGATGGAATGGCGTCTGAAAAGTGAAATTCCTTTTTCTTTATTCCTAGAACTGACTTTCTTCCATCAAGTTAGGGTTTGACGTCTATTGCTCCAACTCATATACAAGCCTGATTATTAGATTTTGTTTGGAAAGTCATTTTTCGTCAAAAACAAATTTTTACGTTATTTTTAATAATTTTTTTATTTCATATATATTATATTATTATATTATAATTTTTAATAAAAATTTTAAAAAATTCCACGCATCAAAATTCCAATGATGTTAGAGAGAATAGAATCCGCAATAAATGTTGATATTATTATTTTTACAGTAGTTTCTTTCTTAAACGAATGATGGACAAAGAATCTAAATTGGAACTCGTAAATAATTAAATTTTTTGACGTGGCACAACCACCTTCAATCCTATTTCCCAAATGTAGCTGACAAAGAACTCAACGAGCCGCACCAGATAGTTTCTTCTTCATCACAAAAACCGCCAAAATTACAAGTGTCCCATACCCAAGTGGACCCCACTAATCCTATCCCTGCACACGGGAATCATCGACCGTCCCCTGGACCCCACTTCACATGCTCCCCTCTTCCTCATTGGATATTTCCCGATAAAAGAAAGAAATCGATATTTGCTAAATGGCACCGCATATTTTGCTTTGCAAAAGAATTTATTTTGTTTCTTTTTTCTCACAATTTGATACTTGAAACTATTAAAATCTTGCGTCTTTTTCAGCACGATAAATCACCCTAAATCAACCCATTGTAATATGACAAGTTTCTTTGGTAATTTGCAATAAATATTATTAATCATATTCTTATTTTATAGAAAATTTTATATGTGCAGTATTTCATATTTTTTTCGCTGATTAATCCACTTATCATAAGTTGAAATTTAGTGCTTGCTTTAAAATTACATTCACGTGATTTATAGGCATCATTATGTATAAAATTGTAGTCCAAAATTTAGTAAACATGAGATGCATGTTAGATAAATTAAATTGCTTCATGTTAAACATGATAAATTGAAACTAAACTTTTTTGTAAATTTAGGAACTAGTTAGGGCAAATGGGCTACGATGACTAAAATATAGGATCGTAGATTACATTTGGCGATAAATTAAATTTCTTCAATGTAAACTTTTGATAGATTGAAATTAAACTTTTGATAGATGCAAGGGACTAGATTAGAAATTGCCCAAACTCAAAAGCAAAAACTATAGAAACTTTCACCGTCATTGAGTAAAATTACAATTTTGCCCCAGCCGGCATTTTCTATATATGTCAGTCTCGCTCATCGGCCACCCTCCATCTTCCATTTCCATGACCTTCACATTTCTAGAGAGAGAAAGTGTTTCTGTGTCCGTTAGATAAATTTTGGAGATAGAAAATTTTGGGGGTTTGGGTTTCGGAGTTAGATATCAAATATGTTGGGAGTGTTTAGCAGTTCAATAATGTCGCCGCCGGATGAGCTGGTGGCAGCAGGTAGCCGGACACCGTCGCCGAAGATCACAGCGGCGGCGCTGGTGAATCGGTTTTTACAAACCAATTCCTCGGCGGTGTCGATGCAGATCGGCGATGATGCCCAGTTAGCTTATACTCATCACAACGAGTCACCTTTACACCCCAGGTAATAAAATTACCAATCAGTTCGAGAAACGTAAAATCAAGAAAAAATTAAGTTAGTAAATAGATGGACAGGGAAATTCAAGGGAAAAAAAAATATGTTTGGTGAGCTGACTTAGGAGTAAAGTAGTAGTGATCTTGGCCGTTTGACGAGATGATGATGATGATTAAGAATCAAAAGGTGGGGGACTGGTTGATCAGAATTTGATGGGTCTGTATGGAATGCATGGAATATTGACATCGCGATGAATCTTTTGGATATATTTGATTATAAAATTCCTGAAGTGGGTTTCTGTATTTCTTTAGATTTATGTTACTCAAGAATCTGATAATTTTCTGGATATACATAAGCTTTCTGGAGCTAAGCTTATTATAATAAAACTAGAATAAACTAAAAACTCTATAGTATTGTAGTAATAAACTACAAACTCTATAATCTTGTAAGCTGGTTAGTAATCACCATGGAGGTTCTTTCTATGTTGTGGATAATTATATGTCTTTTTTCTTGTGATTTTATCCATGTACTGGTTTGTTAGCATCTCTCAGCTCAGCTTTGGCAACAAATATTTCTTGAGCGGTTGTGATTTAGATGATGATGACGACATAAGTTTTTGAGTCATGGAAGTCACCGATTCCAAGATTTTTTGAGTCCAGTTGTCCAAATTTTCCTCGCTCTCTTGCCACGTATTGGAATCTGTATATATCACACTTTGTACTACCTTCTCTCTCTTTGTCTGTTTTTTTTAAAAAAAAAAAAAAAAAAATTTGTGGATCCTTCTTTGTTACCTCGGGTTGTATGGTGTCTTGATTCCAAAACTTCTGGTACCACATACGTTAGATTGCAGCCATACACGTGTCAATCTTTAGAGGAGTAAAAGGCAACATGCCAAAAAAAAATCTGATAGTTTAGTCAGAAAACATTAAGCCAATTCAATTTTTGCCTAAAAAAGTCTGCTTAGTAATCGTGTCAAGTAAAAAGCGTGATATTCTTTAGGTACTCGTAATCTTCGGTGACCATGTTCTGGTTTAGATTTTATCTCCAAAAGTTGGGCCCTCCTTTAATCCGGAGCCTTGGTAGACCCTACTAGAATCCTTATCTAGTCTCTATGCCAATCATGACGGCTCAAAATGGCAGTCTTTCAAAGTTTGGATGAAGCCGTGTAACGCTAGCACTTTGTCTAGGTTAATTGCAAAATAATTATTTTCTTGGAAATATATGGTGGCTTGTATTATTCTAATGGTGACGATGATAGGCAACTACTTTTCCACAAGTGGTTTGGAAAATATATATAAAAAGAAGGTTTTGTTGGTTATGACTAGTGACTAGTTGTTTCTGGTAACAAGTTCTCTTACTGAAATTCTAAGCAAAAATTGACAGTTACCCACTAGTTTAACTCTTACCTACCGTGCGATGATCTGATGAATTTTTTTGAAAGTGACGCGTGAAGCTAACTTGGCCATAAAAATTTGCAGGTCATTCGCAGTTAAGGATGACATATTTTGCCTGTTTGAGGGAGCACTTGATAATCTAGGGAGTCTGAAGCAACAATACGGGCTTTCAAAGTCTGCAAATGAGGTGGTTTTGATGATTGAAGCATACAAGGCGCTTCGTGACAGGGCACCTTACCCTCCAAACCATGTTGTTGGCCACCTAGAAGGGAATTTTGCATTTATTGTCTTCGACAAGGCCACCTCCACCTTGTTTGTGGCTACTGTGAGTGATCTTCAATCTCCTTACCTAACAATTTGACTTCATTGAAATGTTTTATTGCATTTAATCCAGCGGGTGTGGTTGGTGATGTTGTGACAGGATGAAAAGGCTAAGGTTCCTCTATATTGGGGAATCACTGCTGATGGATGGGTAGCATTTGCAGATGATGCTGACTTGCTTAAAGGTGCTTGTGGCAAGTCCCTTGCATCTTTCCCTCAAGGTAAATTTGATTCTTAGGCGCTTAAGTTAGCCATCATCAAAGAATTGATTCTTTTCAATTAATGAATACATTAACTGCTTTTTTTTTTTTGGGTTAGTACATCTTTCGTTTCAAATTCCTTTGCTATCTTGTAATGTACGTTGATGTCTGTTCGTTTGTTCAGGTTGCTTCTTCTCCACAGCTTTGGGTGAACTGAGAAGCTATGAGAATCCAAAGAATAAGATCACTGCAATTCCAGCTAAAGAGGAAGAAATATGGGGAGCAAAGTTCATGGTAAACAGATGAGATTCTCTCTATGTTACCAGCCAAGTAATACAGTCGACCTACGCAAAGGAAAAAGAAAAAAATTGTGCAAACCATTTTTTTTCTTTTTTTTGGAATCCAGGAGTGTATATATATATACTCAGTGAGGTCATTTGGTGATACTGAAATTTGTTCTCTTTTGTAACCTCTTTTTGGTGATATTTTTCCAGGTGGAAGGGCCAGCAGTATTTGCAGCCACAAAATAGAAGTTCATAATCTCCTCCACCTGCAATGTGCAAGTTGCTGCTAAAAGACAGGAAAACAGTGGAAGGGGGATTGGAGAGGGAGGGAGGGAGGGAGGGAGGGAGGGGGTTGATCTCTGGGACCATGTAAAAATTAGTGGAGCTGTCTTTCCCTTAGTAGCTGTTGTTATTACTTCCTTGAATGAATGAATGAGGATGGTGCCGACTTAGGTACTGTTAAGGTTCTAGAGTTGGTTGTTTGCTTGCCCAAGTAGTTCCTTCTCTTCTCTTCATGTAGCGGTTCGCTGGTTCCAATGCTTTGCTTCCTTTGGAATTTGTACAGTTCACCTTTTTTCTCTATAAATTACTAATAAAAGCTCAGTTTACCTTTTTTTTTTTTTTTTTTTTAAAGATGGAGGTCTTGAACACACGTACTATTTACAATTTCTTCTGTTTTATTATTTAATCTAATTCTCCTCTCAGCGAGATCTACCCTCTAATTACCTTGCAGATTGACTAATGATGCATTGCATTACTCACAAAAGATCGAACGATACCTTAGTATGACTTAGCAAGTTTTGTTATGATGGGAAGGATTGGATTGAGTTAGGTGGTAAGAGAAGAAATTGTAAATAGAAGGGTAAAAAAAAGATTTGTATTACGATGAAGTTCGTTTTAAGTTACAGTTTTATTACGGGAGGAAGTGCAAGTGAGAGGTGTTGGGTTCAAGTTTTATCGCTTACACTAAAAAAAAGTTAAAATTTTATTACAATGAAGTTTGTTTAAAGTTGACCAAGTAAAAGGATTAGAATATTGTTTAAGAAATAAATGATAACAATGTGGGGCCAACTTGTCGTTAACTACATCCGACAACTCCTATGAGCATATCCAGTTTTCCACAATGTATAAAAGTGGGCTGGGGCACAGGCTAGACCTTGTTCTGCAGAAGTTCGGCCCAAATTTGCTCCCACAAATTTTGTTTTAGTTCCATCCACTTGGGACATGCTGTATTCTAGACGCCTTATTGTTGTGAATTCTCAATTTTAATTCCTAATCCATTTAAACTATGGTCCTGTTTGACAAATGAGTTTTTTAGATGTTTGTCTAAAATTTCACTGTAACTTACTATAAAAGTTGTAAGCAAAATTTTTGAAGTATGTAAATTTTTTAATATTTTGAAGCGTATAGTTTAAAAACTATGAAGAGTTTTTTAAAGTTACTGTAGCTAACGTTATTAAAAAACTTATTTATAGCAGATAAACTTGATCAAAAATTTGTTTGTCAGACAGGCCTATGTTTATTTAGAATATAGGGTAGGACAAATCTAACTTGGGGTAGGGGGGGAAGGGGCGGGGGTTATAAAATTGGACTGAAAATGACAAAAGTATATATAGTTGCCAATGTGACCGAGTCACCTAGTAGTGATGATAATGACTCGCCTGAAATTTGGAAATCTCAAGGGATCATCATGAGTGCAGTCATGACATAAACTAGTTGCATGACTAGGTAAAAATATAAGATTGATGGTGACTCACCACTCATCGGCCCACTCAATTCATTTTAATTTTGGAGAATTTCAAGTGTTAATATTCATCACTTGAACAAATTCCTTCTTGGAGTTTCACATCCAAAAGCAAAAACTTTTACTACAAAGCAATGGCAGAGCCGGAAAGAACTTTCACACTAGGGGCAAAGACAATAATTAATAGAATTTCTTGCTTAATTTTTCTTTTCTTTTTTTTTTTTAAATTTGAAAAATAAGACATATCAATAGTCATGTACCTAGTATTAATAGTGCATATATGTTGTGAGTACCAAAAAAAGGCATACTAGAATTTACTCATAAAATTATCATGTTTTAAAATACCATACATGAATTCATCATGTTTTGCTAATGATTTACAACTTTTTCGACTTTCAACTCTACAAAATATATATTTTTCAATATAAGTAATTAAAAAAATCTATCTAGGATTCCGAATGAATAAGTGATAAATTATACCAAATTCCAAGGGGACTAAACAAGTGATAAATATAACAAATGAATCATATATTACAACAACTTTCAAAAGAACTGAATGGCTAGACCGGAGAGAGTTGTCATTCAAGGGAAGTTACTGAGATTTCTAAAACTTCAAAAGTGTTAGGTGATGTTAGGTTTTAAATCTTAGAGGAAGTTTCTAAAATTAATCCAAGAAAAAAAAAAAAGCAATGAACCTCAGAGATTGATCCAGTTTTGAGGTAATCTACCTTTTAATTTAAAGAAATGAAACAATTTAAACAGAAACAACTTTCCAAGTGTATCTTTTTTAAATGGACAAACCTAACATACAACTAATCAAGTTTAAGTGGAATGAGGGAGCGAAAAATAAATAAAAAATGACTGGTGGAGGCCTATAGACTTTAAAAGCAGGTAAATAAATTTATTGGAGAAAGTTGAGCTTGACGGGGAAACAATAAAAAAAAAACAAAAAAAAAACTACTCAGACATTAGTACGTACTACTGTTTTCTTTGTTTTTCTCTTGTAAGCCATTACCAACAGCCACGTATCCTCCACTTTTTCTTTTCTTTTCCTTTTTCTTCTCCTTTTTTTTTCTCAAGGGACCACGTATACACCCACCTCAGTGCACAAAACAATAGCCCGTTGAAGGATTTAGAAGAGAAACAAAAAGGCAAATATAGTGACAACATCACATGCAGTTTGGACTTGGGATTCACTCTATCCTCTGTCTCCGTTTATCCCTCTTCTTAAACCCTTGAAGTCCCTTGAAGTCTAGGTGAGATACGTGCATATGCATGAAGACTTAATTTTTATGCTTAAATTTTGTGTCTTTACAAGTTTGATATGATTTGGACTCGTGGGTTTTCTTGCTTTGTTGTTATAGGGCTATTTGATCCTGAGCAGAATTGAAGTTTCAAGTAAGTGAATTTGAGTGAAAGGTATCAAATTTAATCTGAACCCGTCAAGAAATTAGTTTAAGTTTGCCAAAGATTGTTGCTTTTTTGAAGTAAGTGAATTTCAGTGAAAGGTGTCAAATTTGATCTGAACCCGTCAAAGAAATTAGTTTTAAGTTTGCTAAAGGTTGTTGCTTTTTTGAAGTTTCAAGTAAGTGAATTTCAGTGAAAGGTATCAACTTTAATCTGAACCCGTGAAAGAAATTAGTTTAAGTTCGCTAAAGATTGTTGCTTTTTATACTTTTGTGTGATGATTTAGCTACTTTTGTTTCTGGGATTTTCCTGGTGTTTCACTGCATGTAAATAGGTGTATTTTGTTGAATCATCCTATTAAGTCTGTTGTTTCGTCTCTAAACCTACATATACGGTATAGAATGCAACATAAGTGTATGGTGATGCTGTTATGGATGTTTGTGTTTTTCTTTGGCTTTGCTGCTGTTTCTCTTGATGTTTGCCCTTTTTTTCACCCAAGTTTGTATTAATTTGATGCTTAATCTGGTTGTGAGTTATCAGGCATAGGTATGTGTATGTTTTTGTGAAAAGGCAAGTGAGTTTGTGCTTGTCGAATCTGATTCATGCTGTGTGGTTTATGGGTATAATAGTTACCTTATTAAATGTTTCTTTTGTGCTTTACAAAATGATTAATTGTTGAAAATGAAAGGAAAGGGGCCATTTTTCGGTATTCTTGAGGTTAAATCAAGGCTGTCTCTTCGTTACTAGTTGACTTTTGAATGGTATGGCTTTATTTTTTGCCGGAAATTTGATATGCTGAGTCTTTCATCTTATTTAATCAAACTAGTTTCTGCTGTTTATTGTTGTTTGCGTTCGCTGATATATAGACTCTTTCTGCTTTGGTTTGTATTTTCTGACACTGTTCAGTCGTCATTCTTTTAGTATTGAAGAGAGTTTTGTCATCATGACACTCGGTGATGTAGAATTCCTTGTATGCCTATTGTAAACATTTTTTTTTTTAATTTTGCTTTTCGGTAATGTAGCCGCATTTATGATAAGGAAGATGTTTGGATAATTTTCTGATCATTTGTTGTTCTAACTTCTACCATCCCCAGTAAATTCTGCTCGCTGTGTTGATTGTTGATGGAACACCCCCTGGTCCTACTTGAGTGTGCACTATGGTGGAGTCTTTATGAATTATATGTTTGGATGTTACAGATGCATCATGTGTTATTACATGACTCTTATGTTGTTGGCTTTTGGAGAACTTTCCATTGCATTAAATGTCTAGGCACTTGGTTTCTGCATAATTGGAGGTATCAAACTTGAAGTTACTAGACATGACTCCAAAGCATTAGACAAGGCAAGAACGATTACTGATTGATTGACCTGGGCTTTTGGTTATGGTATTTGAGGAGTTCTGTCAAAATAACTATTTTGTTGAGGTGGCTTATCACACCACATATCATAAATAGCCCTTGAGCTGTTATAGAAATGGAGTTTATTGGATTTATGAATTCAAAGTAATTTACCTACTTCCACTCCATGCAATATGTGTCTTCCTCTGGGATGAAAAAACAAATGAAGGCTGTCCAACTTTAGCTAAATAGTATTCTAATATCTACACTTTTTTTTTTCTTCTCTCCAAATATCCATTCACTCTTTCTCCATGTTGCATTCAGGAAGTGAATATCCTAAAGCTTTTACCTAAGACTTGACAAAACATGGATCAGCAAGGAAACGGACAACTTCCAGGTATGGAGGTGGTTGGTAGCTCTGCTCATGTGCCATATAGTGTTGCACCATATCAAACTAACCAAATGATGGGCCTCTCTCCTTCTGCATCAGCTGGTCCAGTTCAAGCTCCTCAAACAGCTGGCCTTCCTGCCTCTTCTACTCAGATGGCGCAACACCAGCTTGCCTATCAGCACATTCACCAGCAACAACAGCAGCAATTGCAGCAACAGCTCCAGAACTTTTGGGCAAACCAGTACCAAGAAATTGAGCAAGTGACTGATTTCAAGAATCATAGCCTGCCATTGGCCAGGATCAAGAAAATAATGAAAGCGGATGAAGATGTTAGAATGATTTCAGCAGAAGCACCAGTTATATTTGCCCGGGCCTGTGAGATGTTTATCCTCGAGTTAACCCTGCGTGCGTGGAACCACACAGAGGAGAATAAGAGGAGGACCCTTCAAAAAAATGACATTGCAGCAGCCATCACTAGGACTGACATATTTGATTTTTTGGTTGACATAGTACCAAGAGAGGACTTGAAAGAGGAGATGCTTGCATCAATCCCCAGAGGGCCCCTTCCTGTTGGAGGTCCTGCAGAGGGTGTCCCTTACTACTACATGTCAGCCCAGTCTGCTCCACCGGTTGGAGCTCCAGGGATGTATATGGGTAAACCCGTTGATCAAGCTCTTTATGGCCATCAGCCTCGTCCTTATATGCCTCAGCAGATGTGGCCACACCAACAGCAACCACCTGCCGATTCTTAGGCAGAAGTGAAGAATTATCCAACTGTGAGTACTTCTATCTTCACGGTGAATCCTCATGCATGTACCAGAGTTTGACAATTATGTCACTTTGCTCTCTGGTTCCGCTAGATCTCTTCATGTTTTCTTTGGACACTGTCAACATTGTAATTCTCTGGTGGTTTGAGCAATCAAATCTCACGATTATGTTTGAGGATTAAGAAGGCTTTTAAACTTGTCATCTTCCGCATGGTTGCCTTTGACTACACTTTATGCGTATGGATGATTTAGATGTGTTCTTTGCTACATAAGCCACTTGCAGGTAGATAGGATTGTGCATACTTTGTTTAGGTGTTCATGCAGTTTCACTTTGTGGTGTATAATTTAGTGACTGGTCTATATTTGGGGTATATTTAATGTAACAATGAGAACTTTTAATCCAAAAATTATCTTCACACTTACGATTTGACTATTTTACTTCTCAGCCCAACTCCACCCCCTTCCCCTTTCCCAACTTTCTATGAGGTAATTAATTTTTAGTTGATTTGCTCTACATCAAGTGTACGCTTCACTTTTTTTTTTTTTTTTCCATGACTGACAAATGAAATGAATTTGCAGGAGTTGTGAGAGATTTTTCAGATCAAGTACTGGAGACATACCAAACTGATAGATGACTGCATAGAGAGACTTTAAAAGACAGAAGAATATGTGTTGCACCTTTGTTATTCCTAAGTTATGTAACTAAATTCTGCACAAATTCAGTTTTAAGGCTTAAGTAGTGTTTAACTATGTACTAGTTAAGTTAGATTGTCATGGTTTGTGGCTAATAACATGTACCAGCCTGTTTGGGCTGCCTACTGTCCATGTTTTCCAGATTTGCGACTGATCTGTCTAGTTTGTCGGTGTATCTTTCAATGTCCCTTCCAACTGCTTCCTAGGCAATAACGTTTCCTTGAAAAATGACTCTAGTAATAAGGTGCTGCTTCGCTGCAGCTAAAGTGGATCACCGACAAGTGAGTAATGCACGGTGGCTCATCACTCGTTCGTTTACTAATTTGGTTCTTCACCATGAGAAAACAATCCTGAGATTGCCCTTTTTCCTGTGTTTGTAGAAAAGACCGATGCTGCAGACTGTTCAGGAGGCCTCTTTTTAAGTTATGAGCCAATTTCTCTCTTCATTTTATAGTGAGGAATTGATTCGTTTTACACCCATTATCGTATTCCCTAAAGAAATTATAGATAGGAAAAGTTTTATAAGCTCCATTACTCCTCTTCCATGGTGATGTCCTTGCTCGTTAAGAAAATATACATTCCTTTTCTTTTTTTGCCAATTGTTTTTGCATTCCATGTCCCAGTACATTGATGGAACTTTCTAAATTTGCATTATTCTCTGATTATGATTATAAAAGAAAGATATCATAGCAAAGAAATTGCAGGAACAAAACCATTGGACCATGCCCCGGGCAAGGATCCTGCTATCTTCCGTGAATAGCAAAACAGGATAGCTATGCTTTTTCAAAAAATTTTTTTTTTTTTTTGGAGAATAGCTGTGCTCTTAATCATATGATTTAAACTCTCATATAAAGGTTTTTTTTTAAAAAAAAAATTAATATCGATACAAAGATGCTTCAACTTTTAGTTTTATATCAGTTTTCCCCTATCGGGTTTTGACCAATTCCGGCAAGAAGCCAAACTACTCGGACTCTATCATGGGTTTATTCATATCACGAAATGACGGGGCAGATTTCTTCCAAACTGCAGAAAGGAGAAAAAAATAAGAGTTTTTGTTAGTACGTATGCTTAAAGCATAACTCTTTAACAAAATTATTTGAGAAACTACCTACCTTCTTCCCAAGCACTCGATGATATCACTGGTAAGAGTCGACCTTTTCTTCTGATCAAATGCAAGAGAAGCTGCCTTTCTCAGTATTGCAGATGCAGCGATGCAGCCTAAAATTGTTGGATTCGTACCCAACTCTCCTCTATTAGCAGACTGACGAGCCCAAGAAAGGAATACAGCAACACTGCCAAGAAAGGTACAAGAAATCTTCTATGAAATGATGGACAATCGAGAACAGACCAATGGTATACATGTAGAGAACTCGTCACAATAGCTTACCTTCCTGAAAGTATATCACCCTGACCACCACAACGCCGAGGAGAACCATATATGCTTACTGCACTAACTGCATAAACCAAAAAAGAAAACTTCAAATCTATGCATACATTAATCACATAAAAAGAAAAGCAGAACATTGTAGCATGCTCAAAATGGGGAAGACACCCACTGGATTTCGAGCACCCAAGAAGTTATAATTTAGAATAACTCTTTAAGCACAATACCAGAATTTGGACTGTGTACTCATCCATGCCCATGTATGAATCCTTTTTTTTTTCTCCCCTTTCGTGTTCGTTGATATAATTCCATGTTCATACATTGTTGAAGATCATTAAGTGTGCTTTTGTGCACTAGAAAAGCCAAGGCGGGATTAGTGAGTCGTAGTGTGTTTGCAGATCTGTTTCACTGGTAGGTAATTAAATCTGGGGAAACAGAGTAGCTTATGTATGTAACAAGCTCTGACCTTGTGGGGAAAAAAAAATGAAGAAATAAAAAGTTACCTTTTTCACCATCAGTGATGAAATCAGATTTTCCTTTTCGTAAGATTGTCACACCACCAATCCTAATCAGGAAGAGACTCAATTATTGGACTGCTATTTGACTTTATAGAATTAAGCACACAATACAGAAACATGCAACACTAAGAGTCAATGATAGAATTATAAACATGCTATGAGATGCAGCTCAAAAGAAATCTCCTGCACTATTTTGCTTCATTCCAAAATCAAAGATTAGCATAAAATTGCTTTTTCATTGAATAAATCAGAGTAACAGTGAAATACTTGGGAGGAGAGGAGGGGTTAAGGATGAGCTATCATCCTTTTAGGTGGAGTAAAAGCATATATGTCAGCATGGATCATGTACCACTACCATGAATACAAGTAGGCCATCCAATCTGGTGTGACTAAGATTTTCCTTCCAATACTTTGACACATCCCATTCCCTCCCACGGGTCATTCTGCTTCTGGTAGGATTTATGTATGTCCTCACTTAGGATTGTTGTGCGTATCACTAATTAGCACCAAAAACATCCTTTATAGGTGTCTCAGAAGGAAAGGAGAACATCCTTATCATCATTTGCACAAGTTATCAAACTTCATATGACAACTGATACAAGGCAGGTTACCGAATAAGTGAACAATAGCTTGCAGATGTCAATCAAGCACATACCCTTTTCCAAGAGCCAATAACTGCTTGCTTCCTTCTTCATCATTTACTTCACAATTTAATATTTTCTGAACAAGCCGCTTATATTCATTAACATTTGGAGTCAGAACAGCTAACGGATAACCTCTAACTAGATCAGGGGAATTTGCAACAAGAAAAAGCCCATCCTGGAAAAGCAACAGCACAAAGGGCTCAAAAATTGAAAGATGAAAAGCAATTCAGGAATATATGCCTTGAGGAAAATAAATTCCATCTCTGTAGTTACATACACCATCAATGACCATTGGCACATTGGACTCCCTTGCATGTTTCATGATGTTACTCACACAGTCCTGGACATGAAACTTGATCGTTAGAATAGATTGTTACAGCAACCATTATAAAAAAAAAAAAAAGAAGACATGTTGCAAAGATTGATTCTGAATTTGATGGCTCTTTGGTTCCATGCAAAAATAAATGCAAGGGAAACTATAATATAACCAAATTAGGAGTATATACTATAAAACCATAGTCTCTCCACATTATAATGTGAAACAACCATCATTACGCTCATCTTATATCAACATCTGACATTTCATCACTTCAATTCTATATCATCTGGGATACATCAAAACCTCCACATGACCACGTTAAACCATGAAATGAGGCAATTTCTTCAGGCAGGTTTAAAACTTGGAAGGACTAGAATGAAAGATACGTACAAGGAGAAAGGGGTCCCTCCCGAGTCCTGGACCAATAACAAGACAATCAAATCTTTCCATCCATTTATCTACCTCCTCAATCACCTTAGCTGATATTGATCCTTTTTCCTCATTCCTGGAAGTGATCTTCCACAAAAGTTAGTTATAAGCCACAAATTGAAGGTTAACTCTCTACGTGACTAAGAGAAAAGAAAGAATGTAGTTAGAATAGCACCAAAAGGAAGACAAGAAAGAAAGCCACCTGATGCTGTAAGATTCTTCCAGAATAGGATGCACTATTAACTCGGGACTATAGCTTTTTATGACAGTAGCAGCATCTTTAGTACAGAATACATGTGATACGTCTGCACCCTGAAGCACAGAAGATGTAAATTAGGAACTCTTGAGCAGCTAAATTTGAAAAATAGATAGGTACAGGAAATTGAAACAAAACATGACAACAAACAGAAGCACAGATTGGTAGGACTCACAAGTTTTAGAGCTGATATAGCAGAAAAATATGGAGCTCCAGTATATTCACGACATCCACCAACGACAGCTACTTTTCCTAATTGGGATATGCACAAGTTGGAACAACACTATCAATTAGACAGCCATTTTCCCATTGGAAACTCAACATAGTTGATTAATAGATGGAGTGGCTGGAAAAGTTCTAAGACGATATCCATTCAGTTGCCTGTGGTGACAACTACTGGACAAATTTTTACATCACCAATCTCTCACATCCACCTATTTAGCTATTCATGTCCAAGATAAACTTAATCCGAAGTTTAAAGCATAAAATGAAGAAGGAAAACAGTTCTCCTGGTAGTTCAGTCCAAACAAAAGGCCAACTAACAAAGATAAAATTGACATAATGGCCAAGGCCGGGATAGAGACCATACTTCAATATCTTCAACGCCACTTCTAACAAGTAGCTATGATCAAATAGCTACTCATAGTCCATCAGCTCAAAAACATTATACGGTGGATCTCATTTGAACAGGAAAATACCAATCTTTTGTTTTAGCAGGGCCCAAAGCAAATGATGAAACCAGAATAAATCCTTTATGTAACCTGATGAAACTAATCCTCCACAATAAGTATCCAATGTATGACCACTGCCATGGAAAACCAAGTAGTGTCATCGATCAGTCTGAAGGTTAGATATGAAGTGACCTCAGGTGGTTTTAGAAAAACTACTGTTGCAGAAGCCTAACCATCTATGCGTGCTTCTCACTATGTAATCTACTTGCTGAAAAATGTCACAACTTGGTTTTCATAATCCATTAGCTTTGCAACTGTTCTCTAAATAAAGTGCCGTACACACACACATCCAAAATTAAGAAGAAAAATGTCAACACTACTTTCTCTTCTGATCCTAACTATAATAGATTGTCTGCAATGATTGTGAATATGGAACTAATAAAATTCTTAAAAAAAAAGGGTCCATCTACAAAATTTAAGAACTTGGGTCATCTCAAGCACCATCGTTTTCAGCAACCCCAAATTAAAGACTAACAACACCACAACTATGTACAAAAGCCAATAGCATTTCGCTTAGATATCAGTCAATGAGTGTGTGAGAGATGTAAAGCGTATTTTTTTACAGAGACAAAAGCAGAAAGATTGCACACCAGCTTGGCCTTTATGTCTGGTTGGGTCAAGAGTAGGAGTAATTGATCTCAAAATGCTAACTGCGTCAGCTTCCAAAGAGGGACCACCGCTCATGGCAGAATGCATTCTGATAACACAATGATGATGGAAATTGTTGCTGTAGTTCTTCTCTTTTCTGTAGCCTCCCAAACACCTTATCAAGAAATTTTGCCTCCTAAAAACAGCAGCTGCAGCAGCTGGAGAAAAACCACGCACCATAAAACTTTGTCAACCTGCACAAGAAAAATCAATTGCAACCCATTATTTAATTCCCGAAACCCATTTAAAAAACCAAAT